GCGTAGCCAAGAGCGGAGCAGTCCTCGAAGTTCAACTACTTGCAGGCCTCTTGACCTGAAACCTCACCGCCCTGATCTGGGAGGCGGCATCAGCGACAGAAATGATAGGACGCGCAGGAGAGGCGAGAACACGCAGGGCATTATACAAGTGAAACGCATAAACAGGGATAGTGAACGAATTACGAGAAGGGGCTAACACAACAAATCGAGCAACAAAGTTCCGGTCGAGAGCGACTTCGGCAACCTCGGGCCAAAGCTCCAGGAACCTCGGGCACAACCAAAAATGCCCAAATCGATCAGAACACTGCGCGCACCCCAAAAAACAGGGGGTCTGTTTTTGAAACCTACTGTTGGCTGTCCAAGCAGATCCGAGAGTTTTTAACATCGCGAGGCGCCAAGAGGGAGGAAGGGAGCGAATCACTTCACGGCAGAGATCCCAATCTATGCCATTGATGTCCGCGAGGCATTGAGGGCACCCTTTTCGAAGCCGAGCGGTAAACGTTGAGGACAGTTCGCCGGGACACACACGGACCTTAAGATGTTGCGCTAGAACGCGTTGGGGATGGAGAGCTTTTCGAGAGAGATAAGGATTGTCTCGAAGATGTACCCGCAGATGAGACGCGCGGCGCCCTGTAGCTGGGGCCTATTCGGGAAACCTGCAGCGGCGTCCTGGAGATTCTGTGTCAAGGGACGAGACTTCCAGAAGTTCGGGCAAACCCGATACCCCCCCCCCCCCCGCGCCATCATTATAGCCAGCACTGATCGAGGCTACGGTCATCTCGCGCCACGCGGCCTCCTCGAGGGCCGTCATTCCGATCTGCCAATCAGGGATGGTAAACACGCTGGCACGGATCAGAGCGGCTACAACGTTGACAAGTAAACTGTTAGTTTGAGGTCCACCCCAAGCCTGCAGGTTGTGCCAGTCCGAGTTCGGCCAGCATCGGAACGGCGTCTTAAACCAGCGGGCCAGCTGCTGATATTCCACAGCACAAAATTGAGGAGGCATGAGAAGGACTTGGGAAACGCACGATAGTACAGTAAACGCTCGTCGTCTATAAAGAAGAGCCGTCACTTCAGCAGCTGATCCGCTTCCAGCGATCAAAGCACATCTCGACTTGTATTTAGCGGCAGGCGCTATCCACAAGTCATCCTCAACACCGGGCCCTAAAAACATCCCGAGGTACTTCAGTTTTTCCGAGATGTCAATGTCTTTCCAGGAGCGCAAGAAGTTCCGAATCCACGTTCGATATTTGTCGACACAGTTCGGGGTGGCCGAGTCGATCAACGGGGCGATCTGGCATTTGGGGATCTTTAGCTTGAGATGTGCTATGCGCCGGGTCTGCGCGAAGACCCGGGCGACCTCGGATAGAACGGAAATTCAAGAGAGCGCCATGCCGATGTCGTCGGCGAGCGCCCAGGCGTGGCCGCGGCCCGCGCCGCCCACCACCCTGCGGAACTCGATGAGAAACGGATCGAGCGCCAGGCTGAATAGGAGACCTGATGCTGGACATCCCTGAGTTATGAAGTACATGAACTGTATTATGCCACCTATGTTTCCAGAGCACCTCACATTGTTATATACGACATCAAAGAACCACCGAAGCGGGGGAGGAAGGTCCAGCACATCAAGCACAAGCGAGCGCCAGCGCTGGCACAAGCTTGGAAAGGCTTGGCCGAATTCGCAGCCCACCAAAAAGTGGAAGCGACGCTTGAGGCCCCATGGAATATACACGAGAATAAGCGTCCAGGTCCACAATATTAGAACAAAAGTTCCGACCAGAAACAACACCGCGTTGATTCGAGTCGAGCCCAGCAGGCGCGCGACGAGAAAGTTCAAAGCAACAGACTCCAGCCAATATCTTGCAGCCGGTGCTCTTGAGGCCAAAGGGCCTGGTGTCCCCGACGTCCCTGGAGACCCCCTCAGCGTCGTTCGCCTCCGTGCCCTTGGGGGTGAACACTCCCGAAAGCCCATTGCAGTGCCAGCTCAGTGTGAAGCCCTGCAAGATCCACTGCAGGCTGTCAAAAAGGATGTCTGCGCCACGTGGCGATCTCTGCCAGGCTGCATACCTGAGTCGGTCAGGCCCTGGGCCCGAGTCCTCTTGGCGCCTCAAGAAGTCCTGCAAAACCTTGAACGTGGGAGGCGGGAGATCACCACAAGAAACCTGCGGAGTGTGGGCCCTGATGAAGTCCCGAGCCCTGGATTCGTCGAACTCTTTACCCGTGAAAACTGGCTTCCAGTAGTCGGTGAGACCCTGGAGGACCTGGTTCGGCCCCTGCACCGTTTTGGCCGTGGAACCCGATGCCCGCAAGACTCACCCGCTTGTCAAACGGAGACCAGGGCTGAGCAGCTCTGTTCATTTTCTGAGCCCGTCCTCGCAATCGATTCTGGCGGTGTTCATTGCCCGTCGCCTCGATGCTGGCCTGGATATGACGGCGCCTCTTCTCAGCCAGCCCAGCGTGCAACTGATCCGAGAGGCGGGTGAAAGCATCAGGCCCCACGAGGAGAACGCTGCCAGCCACGAGATCTAACAAGATATGTGCACGTGCAAGCTGGTGCCTGAGTGTCAGGCGTTCTGCTAGCCGCACGTCTTGACGAAATACAGCACGCGCGCAGCTACGAATAACAAAGTACCGTGCTTGAAGACTACGTGGCTTGTGCAATGCAAGAGCGTTCCGTGCGTAGCGTGCTGCTTCTATCATGAGCTTCTTATGGTACTCGCGCTGCAGTGGGATACTCAAGTGGCCAAACGGGGCGGCGTCCACCGCCTTCTGCAAAAACTGGGCATACTCGCAAGTCATATAGATCTCCTTCGGGATGGACCTCAAAGGTTCGGGAGACGGAGGGCGCTGGACTAGAATAGCAAATGCAGCTGCATGATCATAGATCTGCTTGGCGCGTAGCTGCTCTGGGATGCCGATAACCTCACCACTAGTAGCCTGCTGCGAGAGAACCCGCCCAGGAAATTAGCAAAAGAGCCGATATATGAACGAGAAATGCTTCCCCCCCGCGCGGAAGTGGGACGGAGCCCCCAGCTCGAACTCAGTGAGCCGCCGCGCTACTTCACGCCATCCAGGCGGCTGTTGCAGGGGAGGAAGAGGTGCAGCAATCTCTTCGTCCGCCGGAGTGAACGGCATCGGCGCCTGCAACCCAAAGTGAAAGCCCCCCGCCACGATCACTAGCTTGCTCTGGGGTTCATCTTTCGAGTCGAGGATGGAGGAGAGGATGCGTTGAGTAACATATTGACGCTGAGCTGCGTTAAGACCATGATTATGCACGTTGTAATGGGCGATCCATGCTGAACGATTTGCAGCCGAGAACTCTGCGAACAACACTCGACCGGGAACCGGGGCCTCAGGGGGGAGACTATAGGGCGCTCGCCACCGAAAAGCCTAGCTCTCTCACTGCTTGGACGAACCTTCGGAAAAAAGGTGATGACACCACCGCTGCCGTGCTCAGCTGGGAGGAGGGGCGAGGTGAACCCGAAATCGAGGTTCGAGGAATGGAGGAAATCTTCGATTTCAGCAATCGTGCCGCGTGCTTCCTGCACGGCAATGATTGGCCCAGGGCGGAGGAGGCGACGGAGGTATTTAAACTTAGCACATCTGACAGCTGGCTGGAAGTGCATCAGAGCCTGTGCATTCCACGTGCCAGTGCGAAGTGGCGCGTGGGCCTTGTGGGCCCCTCCCCACAAGGCGCGAAACCTGCTAAAGAGACCACGACGTATGCCCGTCACTCTCCAGCGCGTTGTTGAGACCGTCCTCCAGGAGCGCCCCGACACCCCCTCGAGACGAAGGTTCTCCTTGGCCCAGCGGATCTGCGGCACATCACTGTCGGGCAGCGGGGTAATCTGCACCAGCTGACGCCAATTACATGAAACCGTACCCCGCAATTTGTCCAGGAAGAACTTTTTTCTGAAGGAACTGCAGCATGAGGTAGCGCTTTGCCAACTTGAGAGCCAGCTCCCGACGAACTTGACATGGGTTCTTGTCTGGGCCCACGAACAGCTCGGACCGCTCGCCTGACACCGCCGTGGTGTGGAAGCGAAGCCACTCTTGCCCAGGAGCCTGTGGACGAAGGAGTGCAAGCGCCTGTTGAACTCGCCTGCCTGCGAAGGCCTTCGAGCCCTTGAACTGGAGCGTGTACCTCTTGTCGGTGGGGTCCCCCTGCAGTTCCACCTCGCCCTGCTCCATGTTGAGCCGCGCGAGCCATGGCTGTAAAGCCTGCTCGACGGCCGTCTTAGCACATTGATATTTGCACCGCACGATGATGACCGATATATCGATCTCACGATTGAAGTTGGACTCCAGAGAAATCGGCGCGAAGGTCGTGACAGGTTTCGGCTCAGATTTGAAAATTCCCAGCTCTGCGCGAAGCTTCTTGACGTCATCCTGCAACTCCTTGATATCCTGCGCATGTGTGCGTTGCAAATTCTCGGAGCGGGGTAACCGCTCCTCCACCTGCTTCTGCATGTCCGAGCAAGTCTTGACAACCTTCGACGATAGACCACTGAGCGAACCCTGCATAGCTGCCGATGTCTTAGCAACCTCTTCCAGTAGTTCAGATCGGAGAGCCTCGAGCTGGTTCTGTAAGCCAGCACGCGAAACTTCTTCTTGTGATGCGGCTCCTGCAAGAGGCTGGTCGCTTCCGTTGATCTTGACCTGGAGATCCTGAAGCTCCCGTACCAGCAGCTGCGAAGAGAGACATGGCTGAGCACTGCAGAACGCGGCGGTCCCAACCGCAGCGAAAACGAGTGCGACCCCCAGAAGCAGCCGACGGCGGAAGTGAGCCGTCGGGGCGAAAGTGCAGAAAAGTCAGGCTGGTGCCCGAGCAATCGAGCAGATGGGGACGGACCAGCCAAAGCGAATCGCTGATTCTCAGGCGTTTATAGCCCTTCACAACGTTTAGCCTTGAGCCAAAATGGCTACGGACCTCCTCTTCCTCCCCCTCCTCCTCCTCCTGCGGGGAAGGATGGGGGCGGCTGAACCGCACATCTGCGGGCCTGGCACGTCCCGCCGTGCACCGAATCCGGACCCGCAGAGCCCGCTGCCGCGTAGAAGCAGTCCTGCCCGAAGCTGCCGCAGTACGGGCCGCAACCCTTGAACGCATGGGTCGATACCAGCTCCTCTCGGGGAGGCATCAGACTCGGGCTCCAGTAGGGCGACGAGATCTACACATATCCACTGCCCCAGGCCTGACCTATCCTGGGTCCTGGAGTGGTGTATACGACCTCCTGCATTGGCCAGGGAGGCATACACACCGCTCCTGGGCCCAGGATGGGCCAGGCCTGGGGCAGTAGATATGTATCGATCTCATCGCTCTAACGGGGGCTCGGGCTGGCCCGACGGGGTCATCAGGAAAATGACGAGACCCCAGCCTGAACTCTGACGCGAGCTCTCGCGGCACACATCCCAAGCAAACTGGACCGTCAAAATTCAGGACGGGCTCGCCAAAAAGCAGACACCCCTGCTCAGAGCCAAAACAATTTGAGGCTAAGACAATCGACTTCACTCCGAGCGTTTTCTTAAAGAGTGTTCAGGAAGGTGGATCCTTTTCCTTAGGATGTCGGATTGGCGCAGGCAAGCCCGAGCTCCGGCGAACTCGAGCCTTACGTTTCCCCGATCCTTTGAAGGGGCCCTGTGACACACAAATAAATAGACACAAATAACAGGATTCCCCATATTTTCCTATATGTTCTGGGCTTTTGTCTTCCCCCCCTCACACTTGCCATATTTCCCCATACTCTCTCGGGAATCGGCGATTACTTGTGTCTGCATGTTTTTTCCCCTCCGGATCCTTGCAGGCCCCGCAGGAGACCTCCCCGTCTCTGTCAGGCCACTGGGCCACCGGCAGGCAGGCCACCTCCTGCGGCGCCGGGGGCGCAGGCGTCGCGGGGGGCTGCTCCGGGGCAGGCGGCGGTCCCAGGGAGGCGCAGCCGCAGACCACGCCGTGCGGGCCGCCCTGCACGCTCCGGGTGTCGAAGTCGCAGTCCATCGTGTACAGGGCCTGGTCGGCATGGCCCAGAGGGAGGAGGAGCAGGAGGAGGAGGAGGAGGAAGCGAAGGAGGAGGAGGAGGCGGCGGGAGAGGAGGAGGAGGAGGAGGAGGAGGAGGAGGAGGAGGAGGAGGCATTGTCCCGCAAGCCCCCAGAGCTGGTGCTGCAACAACAAATGTACACCACCGCGGAAGAGAGATCGCCACTGGAGCTCTACAGGTCGGACAGATGGATCTGTGAGGGCCCCGGGCCCCGAAGCCCAGCGAAAACGCCCGCTGTGAGAAAGCTACCACGTTGAGGGCGCCTCCTCCTCCTCCTCCCCCTCCTCCTCCTCTCCTCCTCCGCCTCACATCCTCCGCCTCTCCGCCTCCTCCTCCCGCCCGCGATCCTCGCACTCTGCGCAAAGATCGCCAGAGCTCTGCGGCGCTGCCGTCCCTCTCGGCCGCGAGGCGTGCCGGTGCCGGGTGGCCAGCTCGGGGTCTCGGCAGCCAGCTGCGCTGGCGGGGGCGGGGGCGAGGGGGCTCGGCGGCGACAAGCCGAGTGGCGGCCGGCCCACCCGCCCCAGGAGGGAGCGCGAGCGGGAGCGCAGGCGCGCAGCGACGAGGCCAGAACCGGTCCAAGCATGCGGTCGGCGTGATCGCCCTCGGCGCGCGCCCCTACAGAAGAGAGAACGCGTTTCCTGAACGCTCGCTTTGAAAACAACAACAACAACAACAACAACAACCACAACAACAACAACAACAACAACAACAACAACAACAACAACAACAATCACTTTACCCGAACGCTCAGTGTTCTCACCAGTGCCAGGGTTTTCATGCGACGCCAGCCAATACCCCCACTTTGTGGGGGGGCAGTGCAAGCTCTACCAAATATCCACACGACTCTTCGCCACCACCCACACCCAGCTTCCCGCCCTATGACGTTCGGACACTTCACTTCGTGGCCTGCGGACGACCGTGGCTACTACACTGGCGTGGAGTACACACCCACAGAAGTTGTTAAGCCTACGTTCGTACACCCACAGAAGTTGTTAAGCCTTGTTAACCCACAGAAGTTGTTAAGCCTTCCACAGAACATCTGTTGCATATGATGCATATGGTACATGATACACATGATACACATGATACGTACTCACAAGATAGTTGATCACATCTTTAGGGCAAATTCCTGAGGGATGTGGGAATACACAAGAGAGAGAGGATATGGTTGTCCCGATGGTTGTCTCGATGGTTGTCCCGATGGTTGTCCTGATGGTTGTGGTTGTCCCGATCGTTGTCCCGATGATTGTCCCGATGGTTGTCCTGATGGTTGTGCTTGTCCCGATCGTTGTCCCGATGACTGTCCCGATGATTGTCCCGATGGTTGTCCCGATGGTTGTTCCGATGGTTGTCCCGATGGTTGTCCCGATGGTTGTCCGACGTTTTATTCTCGGCGGCCGAGGGCGCAACCTATGGCGCAACCGCAAGGGATTGTGGCCCCTGGCAGGCGCGCGAACCCCGTTGCAAGAGCGTGCGAAAGTAGCTCGCGCGAGCTCATGTAACATAAATGTTGGAAAACCATTGGTTTTTTTAGGATTCGGACAGCGCGCGCGGGTGGAAATTTTGAAAAGTCGTGCAGGTGTTTTTCGAGGACCTACGGTGCGATTCGTGTGATTTTATGATGCGCGGTGCTAAAATTCTTAAGAAGCCCAATGGTTTTTGGAGATTTCGGCGTGCGCGCGCGAAGAAAAAACGAATGTGTCCCGCATGGTATTATTTGACAGGGATGATGGCCCTGGCAGGTGCGCAACCGTTGTCGCAGAAGTTCGAAAAAGTTGCTCGCAAAAGCCCGTTTGACAGAAATGTTTAAAAAGTGTTGGGTTTCCTACGAATCCGCAAGAGCGCGCGGGATGAGATTTTGACATTTTTTTGTTGAAAAACCATTGGTTTTTTGATGTTTTTATGTTAAAATCGCTGCGAACACTAAGGTTTTGGAAGGATTTCGTCTTGCGCGCGCGAATGTCCACTTTACCTTATTTTTTGCAAGGGATTCTTGAAATTTGATTATATTAGAACAAGAAATGTCATTTTCTATTGTTTTTTGCAAGGGAAAGCGGATTACAACAAAACAACCGGATCCTGTACACACCCTCTTTTCTGAGGCTTCCTCACGAAAATGATGAAAATGTAGCTGCGGCCTAGGCGGCGCAGGGGGGGCGCGCACCAGGGGGCCCAACAATAATTATTCTTTAGAATAAATAATGTTCAACAACAACACCAACAACAACAACAACAACAACAACGACGACGACGACGACGACGACGACGACGACGACGACGACGACGACAACAACACGGATGGGGATCCTCCCTGTGCCCCTTTGCTGGGGCACAGCCGGACCCCTCCCCCTTTGGGGGCAGGGACCCTCCCCAGGCCCCGGGGCGTCAGGAGACCCCCCCCCCAGAACAACACAACACAACAACGGTCCGGGTTTAATAAACAAAAAATCCACCTCTATCAGAAGTGGATCCATCCTTCATGCCATGTTGCAATGTCTGCACCAGCAAAGCTCTGGAATCCTATGGGAATCCGATGGGAACCCGATGGGAATCCTACGAATCCTATAAAAACCTTAGGAAACCGATAGGAATCCTAGGAATCCTTTTTGAATCCTATGGGAATCCTACGGGAATCCTCTGGGAACCCTACGAATCCTATGAGAATCCTATGGGAATCCTACGAATCCTATGGGAATCCTATGGGCATCCGATGGGAATCCTATGGGAATCCGATGAATCCTATACGAAGCCTATAGGAATCCTATGCATCCTGTACGAATCCTATAGGAATCCTTTATAAGTCCTCCATGGATCCTGTCGGAATCCTATGGGAATTCTAAGAATCCTGTGGGAGTCCTATGAGAAGCCGACGAATCCGATGGGAATCCTGTGGGAATCTTATGATTCCTCTGGGATTCCTATGGGAATCCTGCGAGTCCTATGGGATTCCTCTGGGACTCCTACGAGTCCTATGGGATTCCGATGGGAATCCTACGAGTCCCATGGGATCCCTATGGGAATCCTACAGGAAGCCTCCAGGATTCCTATGGGAATCCTACAAATCCTAAGAAGCCTCTAGGAATACTAAAAGCATCCTATAGGAAGCCTCTAGGAATCCTGTAGGAATCCTAGGAAGCCTCTAAGATCCCCAGCATCCTAAAGGAATCCTATAGGAATCCTATGGGAATCCTATAGGAAGCCTGTAGGAATCTTATAGGAGTCTTACGAATCCCATAGGAGTCCGATGGGAATCCTAAGAATCTTTTGGGAATCCGATAGGAAGCATCTACGAATCCGATAGGAGTCTTACGAATCCCACATGAGTCCTTTGGTCATCCGAAGAAGCCTTTGGGAATCCTGCGGGAATCCTCTCGGAATCCTATAGGATTCGTATGCATCCCATGGGATTCCGATGGGAAGCCTATAGGAATCCCAGGAAGCCTCTTAATAATCCAACAGGAAGCCTAAACATCGCATAAGAATCCTAAGAAACCTGCAATATTCTTATGGGAATCCTAAGAAGCTGTCAGGAATCCTAGAGGCATCCTAAGAAGCCTTTCGGAATCATATGGGAATCATATGAGTCCTACGGGAATCCGATGGGAATCCTAGGATGCAGGAAGCCTCCAGGAATCCGATAGGAATCCTAAGAATCCTACAGGATTCCCATGGGAATCCGGGGAAGCCTCGAGGAAGCCAGTGAAATCCTATAGGAAGCCTTCTTAGGAATCCGATTGGAATCCTAAAAGGAGCCCTATGATTCCGAAACGACTCCCGAATCCGCCACGGGTCCTATAGGATCCTATACGGCTCCTATACGAATCAATACGAATCATATACGAACCCGATGCGAATCCTAGAAATCCTGTGGGATCCTATGCGAATCCTATGCGACTCCTACACAAATCCTATACGACTCCGATTGGATCCTGAGAATCTTATAGGATCCTGAACTAAGCACATAAGAGCCCTGTACGAATCCTATAAGACCCTCGGAATCCTACACGGCTCCTACTACTCCTACTACGACTCCCACCACCACTACCACTACTCCTGCTACTACTACGACTACTACTACAACTACTACTAATACTACTACTACTACTACGACGACGACGACGACGACGACGACGACTACTACTACTACTACTACTACCACCACCACCACCACCACTACTACTACTACTACTACTACTACAACTACTACTACTACTACTACTACTACTACTACTACTACGACTACCTACTACTACTACTACTACTACTACTACTACTACTACTACTACTACTACTACTACTACTACTACTACTACTACTTACTACTACGACTACTACTACTACGACTACCAGTACTACTACCACCACCAACCACCACACCACTACTACTACTACTACTACTACTACTACTACTACTACTACTACTACTACTACTACTACTACTACTACTACTACTACTACTACTACTACTACGACTACGACTACGACTACGACTACGACTACGACTACGACTACGACTACTACTACTACTACTACTACTACTACTACTACTACTGATTCATCTGCTTCCTATAGGATTCCGATAGGATTCCTATAAGCTGCCTATAGCATTCATGATATTCCCATGCGATTCCGATGCGATTCCCATAGGATTCATATGATTCCGATAGGATCCGTTGTAATATTCCTGTAGCTTATATGATCGCTAAGATTCCTTGTTGGTTCCTACAAAATTCCACTGGGATTCTCCGACAGGAATCCCATAGGAATCCTATGAATCCTATATGGGGTCCTATAGAAATGCTACAGGAATCCGATGGCCCGCAACGGGATCTCCTGGGAACCAAATGGTCCTTATGAGAATCATATGGGGCCCCGGTTGGAACCCCATGACTCCTGTAGGCATCCTATAGGAACCCGATGAATCCTATAGGACTCCTATAGGGATCCAATCCTGTACGACTCCTACAGGAATCCAACACGAATCGTATACGAATCCGGTAGGAATCCTATCAGGATCCTGTAGCAACCATATAAATCCTATGCATCCAATTGGAATCCTAAAGGAATCACATGGGAACCCTTTTAGGCAACATATGAATCCTGTGCGAATCCTATGGGATTCCTATAGGAATTCGATGAACCCTAAAGGAATCATACAGGAATCTTATGAATCCGCTGGGGGCCTATTGGAATCATATGATTTCTATATGAATCCTCGAAGAATCCAATAGGAATCCTATAGGAGCCCTGCGAACCCTATTAGAATCCAATAAGAACCCAACAATATCCATATGAATCCTATAGGTCCGATGGAAATCCCATAGGAATCTTATGATATGCATATGAATCCTATACGAATCCCATGGGATCCTATAGGAATCCAATGAATCCTATAGGAATCCTGTAAGAATCCCACGAATTCTGCACGAATTCCATAAGAATCCTATCGGAGTCCGATAGGAACCATACGAATCCTATATGAATCCTGTACGATTCCTGTAGGAGTCCGATGGAAACTCTATGAATCCTATATGAATCCTGTAGGAATCCTATAGGAAGCCTATAGGAATCAGATAAACCCTGCACGAATCCCAAAGGAACCTTATATGAATCGCGAAAATCTTTACGGAACCCAATAGGAATCGCAAGAAACCTATACGAAGCCTTAGGATTCCTATAGGAACCCAGTGAATCCTATATGAATCCTGTAGGAATCCTATAGGAGCCCTATAGGGATCATGTGAATCCTATACGACCCATGACTCCTATATGAACCCTGTAGGAAACCTATAGGAAGCATAAAGGAATCATATGAATCCTATACGAATCCCATAGGAATCCAATGAATCCTATAGGGGTCCAAAAAAAAACTATGAAGTCTGTACGAATTCCATGAGAATCCGATGGGAACCTTATACAAATCCCAAAATAATCCTACAGGAATCCCAAGAATCCTACAATAATCCCATAGGAGTCCTATGAGTCCTATACGAATCCTTGGGAATCCCATAGGAGTCATATGGATCCTATATGAATCCCATAGGAATCCTATAGGGAACCTGTCAGGATCTTATGAATCCTATACGAACCCTATGGGAACCCCCATGGGAATTATAGAACCCTATGCGAGTCCGATGCGGATCCGATGGGCATCCTGTAGGAATCCTATGACTCCTATACGAATCCGATTGGAGTCCTATAGGTCCTATATGCATCCTCGACGAATCCTATAGGAACCCTGCAGGGATCCTATGAATCCTATACGAGTCCCACAGGAACCCTATAGGAATTCTATGAATCCTATAGGAATCTTATGGGAATCCAATGAATCCTGTACGAGTCCCATAAGAATCCTATAGGAACCCTATACGAATCCCATCATAATCCTCGAGGAATCTTGAAAATCCTATATGAACCCTGTACGAATCCTCTGGGATGCCTAAAAGAATCCGATCAATCCTGCACGAATCCCAAAGGAATCATATAGGCATCCTAAGAATCCGAAAGGAATCCCGTAGGAGTCTAATAAATCCTATACGAATCGTTAGGATTGATATCAAAATCCGATGAATCCTATATGAATCCTGTAGGAATCTTATAGGAACACTATAGGGATCCGATGAATCCTATACGAATCCTATGGGAATTCTCTTGGAATTCTACGAATCCTACGCGAATCATGTAGGAATCCTATAAGAATCATATGAATCCTATACGAATCGTATAGGATTCCTATCGGTCCTATAAGGATCCTGTAGGAATCCTATAGGAACCCTATAGGGATCCTGTGGAATACTATACGATTCCCATAAGAATATCACAGGAATTATATGACTCCTATACGAATCCTATAGGAGTCCCAGAGGAGTCCTATGAATCCTGAACGAATCCTGTAGGCATCCTATAGGCATCCTATGAATCCTATACAGATCCTATGCGAATCCTATGGGCCGGTGGATTGTGAGAAAGTCTCAGGCGGGAGCCCTCGGCGTCGTTGTTGTTGTTTGGGGGGCGGAGGGGGGGGGCAGCCCGGGGCACGACGCCCACAACAACAATTACTCCGACGGCAGGACCCCGCATGATAATCTGTTTTGCGCGCCCTTCTCCCTTTCCTCCTGGCCATGGCAAACACCCTCCTCTCGCCCCTTCCTCTGCCCTCTCTTTTCCCTCCTTCTTCTATTTCTCCCTTCTCTCTCCGTCTACCTCCCCCCCCTCCTCCTTCTCCACCTCCTCCTTATCATCGCCCTCCCCCATACCCTCCCCCTCCTCATCTTCCTCCTGCCGCTTCTCTACGTGCACCTCCCCCTCCCCCTGGGCGGGGCAAGCAAGTCGATGTTCCTCGGCGCCGTCGCCGCCTCGGCCAGCACTGGACTGGCGCGTTCTCTGATGGCCGCGTCGCGCAGCCGTTGGGACAGCCCCGCGGGCCAGGCTGTCGGGACAACCCCGCGAGCCGCTGGCGCGCAAGACCAAGCCGTTGGGACAACCCCGCGGGCTTACAGCGGGGCGCAGCCACGCTCAGGCGGGAGGCGGCACGAAGCCCAGTTTTGCCGCGAGCTGCTCCGCCTCCGCCCTGGACAAAACCGCTCTCTTGTCGAACTCCAGCAGCGCCTTCCGCAAGGACGCCGGCGGCCCTCGCTCCAGGAACTCCCGCGGCGGCGGCCGCAGGATCAGCATGTTCCGCATGCACGTGGCGCGGGAGAACATGACGTAGAGGTGCAGCCACCACTGCTCATCCGACATGCCCGTGCGGCCAGCGTCCTCGTTCCAGAGGAAGCGCACAGGGGTGCGTCCCAGTGGATACGTGCCGGGAATAGCGATCTGGGAACACGACGAACACGAAGTGGCCTACAGTTGGCTCCAGGCATTCAAAATGTGGCCTGGGAACGGTGTTTTGGGAACACGGATTCACTCGCAATTCACTCACAGACGAGGTTCCCGCCTGAGATTTCCTCCATATTCAGGCCTGAGGAGCGCAAAAATTGACGACAGTTACAGGATCCCGATGACCCGCTCGGATTAGTAACATGATCTGCGGGCCCCATAGGGAGGGGGCTCCCGCCCGAGACTTCCTCGCAATTCACTCAGAGACGAAGCTCCCGCCTGAGACTTCCTCCAGATTCCGGCCTCATGAGCCCAAAAGTGAGAACGGTTACAGGATCCCGATGACCCGCTCGGATTAATAACATAATCCGCGGGCCCCATAGGGAGGGGCTCCCGCCTGAGACTTCCTCGCAATTTTCTCACAGGCGAGGCCCCCGCCTGAGACTTCCTCCAGATTCAGGCCTCATGAGCCCAGAAGTGACGACAATTACAAGATCCCGATGACCCGTTCGGATTAATAACATAATCCGCGGGCCCCATAGGGAGGGGCTCCCGCCTGAGACTTACTCGCAATTTACTCACAGGCGAGGCCCCCGCCTCATACTTCCTCCAAAATTCAGGCCTGAGGAGCCCAGAAGTGACGACAGTTACAGGATGCCGATGACCCGCTCGGATTAGTAACATAATCCGCGGGCCCATAGGGAAGAACCTCCTGCCTGAGACTTCCTCATAATTCACTCACAGACGAAGCCCAAGGCGAGTGAGTGAGTGACTGCCTGACTGACTGACTGGTGATGATGATGATCATCATCACACTCTCTCACGCGCACACTCATCATCATCATATGTGAGTGCTGATGAGTGAGTGAGTGAGTGTGTGAGTGAGTGAGTGTGTGAGGGGTGATGAGTGAATGAGTGAGGAATGAGTCATGATGATGATGGTGGGTTCCCGTTCCTGCGCGGGATGTCCAGAGAAAACAAGAACCCCACTTTGGATGTGGGGAACAACAACAACAAAACAACAACAACAAACAAATCAACAAAAAAACTGGGCACGTCGGCGAAAAGCCCGCCGCCCCCCCCCCACGCCTTCCGTTCGCAAGGTGGGGACGCGAACGCCTTCCGTTCGCAAGGTGGGAGCGCGTTCCAATCACAATGCCAGGTGGTGCCAAAATTGATTCTTATGTTATGGAAGGGAGGGTGGGAATGGGCGGGGCCCTCTGACCCGCTCGACCTGGCTAACGTGACTCCTCCTCCTGCTCTTCCTCCTTATCCTCCTGCTGCTCCTGGTCATCCCCATTCCACGGGTCGGTTGTCTCTAGCGGCGCGGCTCTTCTGTGACTGAAGGCCGGCCTGGCAGTCCAGCTCCCCTCCCAAGTTCGCTCCGGCGAAGAAGCACTGATGGCCGAAGCTCTCGCAGTACTCCCCACAGCTCCGGAAGTCGGAGACAACAACCTGGTGCCTGAGTGACGACGACGAGAACGAAGACGGCGACGACAAAGATACCGCCGACAACGACGACGACCACCACCACCACCACTACCACGGACGACGACAACGGCGGCGGCGGCGACGACGGCGGCGGTGACGATCATGACCACGATCACGATGACGAAAGGCGCGGCTACGAGTGCGAGGACAAGGACGATGACGACGAGGAGAGGGACGACTGCGAGGGTAAGCGCGAGGACGAGGACGAGGAAAAGGACGCCGACGTCGACACTGGCAACGAGGGTGAGGAGGACGAGGGAAGGTGCCTGCACTGGCCGCAGTCCGCGTTCCCTTCGAGGCCTGGAGGGCGCCACAACGAGGCGCCAACGCCAGCCAACCTCATGTCCTCATATGCTATAAAGTAGTCTTATTATTCGTTGTAGTCATATTATGTTACGTTCTTTCTTGTTGATATCACTAGTCGTCTTCCTCTTAGATTACTCTTCCTATGTTTCAAAGCATTCACATTACAAGAACTCTTGTGCCTATGATTACGATTCCCCCTGTTATCATTAGAATTATTTTCCTGTTTAATTATATTCGCTTTAATGTTACTCTCCTTTGTATTCGCGATCGTGCTCCTATTATTCCCAGACCTCTTGTGTTGGGTTCTCGTATTGACTAAGGCACGGCAGTCTCCACTCTTCCGTCCTCCCGCCCACCCCTCCTGCCTCTTGTCTCCTACTTCCTGCCTCATGTCTCCTCTTCTTTCTCTCCCTCCTCCCGTCTCTCCTTCGCCCCTGGAGGGCTGAGAAATGCGCAACTGTGGCCACTTTCGTGGGCTCCTGGGAGGTCCTGCGTAGTGGGGGGACACGGGAACCCAGTTGGGACCAATGCCAAGCCATGACAAGCAACGCCGAGCAATGCCAAGCAATGCCAAAGGATACCAAGCAACGCCAAGCAATGCCAAACGATGCGCCCAGCGATGCGGCCATGCAATAGACATTCCCCAAATTGGGGTCGCGCCGGGCTCATGTTTGTTATGACTCCTTATTCTGAGTCGCAGTATGCCGATTAATACTATTGGTATCATTGTGATTGTCATCATTACTGTTATGATTTCTGTTCCTCCTCCTCCTCCTCCTCCTCCTCCTCCACCTACTCCTCCTCCTCCTCTTCCTCCCCCCTTTTTCCTCAGTGGTATGCACCCCCCCTCTGCCACAAAACCGGCCGAAAGCATTGGATCCGGGTGGCCCACTCCTACCTGCGGAAAAAAACAAAAATCAATGATGTTCGTCTCGCATGGGCGTTCCGCCGTCAACGCTCCAAAGTGCGTGGCTGGAATGGCTCGGCGCCGCCCAGATTTCGCATGAAAGCAGCGTTCCCACCCCGACGCGTCGCCAAGTCGGGGGGGCCCGCGCGAGTAGCCAAACTGTCGCCGTCGCCCAAGCTCCGTGCGCAGTTCGTTCGGAAGTGGCGTTCCGGCGCGGGGCGACGCGCGGCTCGTTCGCCGAATCGCTGGAAAGCGACAGCAGTAGCGGGGCCGCGCGAGAGCGGGCGAAATGCCGACCTCGCCCAAGCACCGCGCAGCTTGTGAGTGAAAGCGGCAGCGCTGTGCCAGCGCAGCGCAAGCTTTGTCTTCGCCGCGCCCATCGGAGGTCTGCCGCCCCCGCCCCTGCGCGACCCGCGCAATTTTCATCCGCCAAGTCGTCGGACGCCGGGCCGCCCCCAAGCGCCTTCCGCTGGCCACGTGGGAACGCGCCTCAACTCCAACATCAAATTGCGCCACAAATTATCCGCATGCCGTGGGAGGGAGGGTGGGAACAGGCGGGGCCCTCTGACTCGCTCGACCTGGCTCACTTGACTCCTATTATCTTTCCCTGTTGGTATCTACTCCTACTCTGCCACCTGGCCAGCCCACAGCAACTGGATATGGGAGGTCCAATCCTACCTGCCAAAAATTACCAAATGAATGTCTCACGTTTTCAACATCAACAATGTGCCGCCCATGCTACAGAATGCGTGGCAGGACTGGGATGGGACAGGGCGCGCATCCCGCGCGAAAGGACGAAATGTCTCTTAGGAGGTCCTGGATAGCAGGATCGCTGAGAGCCTCGAAGAGTTCGCGCGGCGGCGGCATGAGCGGGGGGGCTACGGCTACGGCCGCACCGTCTTAGCGGTCTGTCGTCGCTGGTCGGCGCTGGTCGTGGCGCATCGCCGGGGTGCGCCAGGGCAGCCGCGCGCCGCCGCGAGGCCCGGGCCTGGCGCGCGCGGCGCCCATCTACATCCTCCTCCTCCTCGACGTACGAGGGCAGTCTGCTGACGCCCCACCACGATCTCCTCGCCCCAGCTCCGCGGACCCGCTGGTCGGCGAGGTGGAACAGGGGAGCCTCCTCGCGCACGAGGGCTTCGAGGCGGGCCCAGAACAAGACGCCGAGGGCTCGGACGTCGACGGGGCATCCCCCCATGGCACGTCGCGCTACGACGAGAGCTTCCACGACGCTTCCGACGCCCAGGGCCCTCAGGACGTGCCGGAGCGGCCCGAGGCGGAGCGGCTTGCGCTGGAGAGGGCGCTACTCGACGCCGCTCTCGAGCGCGACGTCGGCGGCGCGGCCGCCGGCGGCCCGGCGGTGGAGCAGAGCGCTGCCGTCGGCGGCTGCCCGGCAGAGGACGCGAGCGAGCCTGCCGCGGAGCCTCCTCGCAAACGCCCCGCGCACGGCGCAAGGCTGGCCCTCGCGAGCCCGCGCTAGAGGCGAGCGACGCCGTCGGCGGCGCCCCGGCGGAGGACGCGAGTTACCCACCCGCGGAGCCCGCTCGCAAGCGCGCCCTCTCCAAGCGCGACGAGGCTGGCCCGCGCGGGCAGGCCAGCGCCGGGGGCGGGCAGGCGCGCCCCGACGGCGCGGCGCGCGAGCTCGCCGAGGCGCAGCCTCGAGACTGGGCCGGCGCTGCCGCCGGCAGCGAACCGCCGAAGGACGCGAGCGCTGCCGCTGCCCGCGGCGCGGCGGAAGGCGAGAACGAGCCGGCCGCTGCGCCTCCCTCGCAGGCGCACCCGCTGCAAGCGCGAGGCCGACCCTCCAGGTCCCCAAACATCCGCCGACTTGATTTTTTCAATCCGCGGCCCCAGAGGTCCCGACCCCTTCCCCGGGAGTGGTTTTTCGTCCGGGATCCACTTTTGATATCCCCCAGGCACGACAGCGGGCCCCAGAGGCCGAAATCCAAGAAAAACGCCGGATTGAAAAAATCATGTCCTCGGATCTCTGGGTCAGGCCAGCGCGGGGAGCGAGCAGGCGCGCCCCGACAGCGGGGCAAGCGAGCCGGCTCAGGCGGTCCACGAGGAGCAGCCTCGCCCCAACCTGGTCGGCGCGGCGCACCGGGCCTGAGCGCGCAGCAGCGCGCGGTCAGCGCCGACGCTCGGGCTGCCGCGGGCGCGGGCCACAAGGCCATCGCCACGAAGCTCGACCAGGATGCCGGCATCGTCGTGGACCACGGGACGGCGCGGGAATATATTTAGAGCGCGGGTCCGTTCAGAAGCCGCGGAGGGCGCCGGGCCAGGCCGCGGCGCCCAGAGCGCGCGAGGCCGACACATCGGAGGACCTGCGGCACCAGGTACGTCGGCGCTTAGTAATAGAAACTCCAGAACATGGGGAAGCCCCGCACGCAGAGCGCAGCCGCGGCGTCTGAACGCAATCTGACGCAACAAGCGGCTTGGAATCTCCACGCCCGTCTCCAGAAATGGCACGCGGAGCAGGAAAAGGCTCTGCCAGTGGCACGCCCCACGACGAGGGTGGACGAGGGCTGCGGCACAGGGGTTGTTCGCCGGCGCCTGGCCGACTTTTGGCATCAAGGCCCCTGCCGGGGCCGCCCAGATTCATTTGGGGCGCCACGACAGCCATAATCACAGAGCCCCCACAGACAGCGCGGTCCCGTGCTGAGGGCTGCCCAGCAGAAACACTGTGGTTAATCGCACCACATCGATTATACCACTACCATTGTGCCACATATATTGTGCCACAAAGGCACAACATAGATTGCACAACCTGTATTGCAAAACGCAGATTGCAACACATAGGGAGGTACCCACACAGACTGCACCACATATATTGTTCCACATAGATTGAACAACATATATTCCTACAAACACACTGTTTAGGGTCAATTTTGGGCGCGGTGCGCAGTGGTCATACGCGAGTTCGTCGACGCGCGACCGGACGGAAATGCCGATCTCGCCCCGGCGCCGCGCAGGTTTCGCCTGAAAGTGGCGCTCCCGCCATGACGCGGCGCTTGCTTTTGATTGGCCAATGTGGGGGGGCCCGCACGATTGGGCGGTTTGTCGCCCTCGCCCGAGCTCTGCGTATTTCGCTCAGAAGTGGCGTTCCAGCGCGGGCGCGGCGCATGGCTCGTTCGCCGAATCGCGACAGCGGCAATGGGGCCGCGCGAAGAGCGGGCGAAATGCCGACCTCGTCCAAGCGCCGCGTAGCATGTGAGTGAAAGTGGCAGTGCGGTGTCAGCGCGGCGCATGCTTCGTCTTCGCCGCGCCCATCGGAAGTTGTGCCGTTCCCGCCCCTGCGCGGCCCGCGTAGTTTTCCCTTCGCCAAGTCGGCGGAAGCGAGGCCGCGCGCGAGCGCCTTCCGTTTGCGGGGTGGGAGCACGTTCCAATTCCAATACCAAGCTGTGCAACAGTTGATTTCTATATACTGTGGGAAAGAATGGGAGTAGACGGGGCCCTCTGACTCGCTCGACCTGGCAAAATTGACTCCTCCTCCTCCTCCTCCTTCTCCTCCTCCTCTTCCTTCTCCTCCGCCTCCTCCTCCTCATCTTCCTCGTCCTCCTCCATCCCTCCTCCTCCTCCTCCTCCTCCCCTCCTCCTCCTCCTCCTCCTCTTCCTCCTTCTCCGCCTCCTCCCCTCCCCCTCCCCCTCCCCCTCCCTTTCCCCCTCCTCCCGTTCCCCCTCCCCCTCCTCCTCTTCGTCCTCCGAGGCGAAGCCTGCCAAAACTGCAACATCGTGATAAAAGACGACTGGAGCCCAAGACCCCATCTCCTGGCGGCACTTTCGAGCCGCATCGATGTGTGAGGGGCCCGCGAGGCCCGACACCGGGCGCAAACGCCTGGTGTGAAATAAGTTGCCAGGCCCCCGATCTGAAGGTCTCTTCCTCCTCTGAGTCCTGGGGCCCCGAGGACCTGGCCACTCGCCGTAGGCCTTGCAGCTCGCCGGCGCCGCCGCGACCGGGGCGGCAGGCGCACCAGGGGCGCCCAGTGCGGGCGGGGCCGAGGCGGCGGGCGCCACAGGAGCCGCGGGCAGGGGCGCCGCTGCGTCGGGCGGAGGCGTCAGCGTGGCGACGGGCGGCAGAGGCGGAGGTGTCAGCGGAGGCGTCGCCGGAGCACCTGGTGGCGACACGGTCGTGGGCGGCGGCGTGGTCGTGGGCGGCGACGAGGTCGTGGGCGGCTGGACAGTCGTGGAGGGCACGGGAGTGGGCTCAGGCCTCTTGCAGCCACAGATCATGTCGTTCGAGCTCACCTGCAGGGCCTTGATGTTGTCAGCGCACGTGACTTCGGTCAAGACTTTGCACTCCGTCTGCCCCGCTGGCCCGTTCACGTCCTCGGCGGCGTAGAAGCACTGCTGCCCGAAACTCTCGCAGTACTCTTGGCAGGTGGTGAACCTGGGGCAACAAGTCGAGAGAAGATGAAATGTATGATTCGGAATAAAGCAGCCACAACCTGGTCCATCATTCGTAGGTAGGAGGAGGAGGAGGAAAAAGAAGAGCTGCCTTCTTGCATCTGACAACCCCGCTTTGCTTTTGTCTCACCCTCGCACGTCTGCTGCCGCATTCTTGCCTGTGAGATTTCAATGCTTCGTTCACAGGTGCGCTGGGAACAGCGGGCTGTTGCCAAATTCTCGCGCAAAGCAGAACAACCAAATCCAGAAAACGTGTGTGGCATCGTGTGAACCAAACGTCTACTTGTCCACAGGTGCCCTTCGGTTCATGGGTAGCGGTGCACTCAGGGCCGCCAAGAGCTAATGTACTTCGAGCTATCCCGTGTTCCAAAAATCCGAATACACTGCAAGAAAAAAGGAAGGGGCAGCCGTTCAGAACCGCAGCAAGATCAGTCAGCATGGAATCCGAAGTCGGATCGAATCGGAATGTGCGTCGCGTCGGGATGGATTGCCACGAAGTCGAGATCGAATCGGATCGACCGCGCCAAGAAGCACATCGACACCGTGCAAACGTCGGGCCGCATGGGATCGTCGGAATATCGCAATCGAATCGGACCGAGCCAGCCCGAATCGATACCAAATTGGACCTTTCAGAAAACTTACCATGCGCCGTGACCCAGGCCCTGTACACGGGGCAGGGGTCCAGGGGTCCGAACAAAGACGCCCAAGTTGACCCTACAGAGGCAAAGGGGCGGCCAAGATGGCTGGACACCTGGCAATCCCGACTGCCTCTGTTGTCTCTGACTGGCTGCCTGACTGCTTCTCCAGAAGAGGATCAACAACAACAGCAGCAAACAAAGTTGGCACAAACTTTCGGAGGTGCAAGCGGACCTCCGAACGCTTACGGTCAGGAGCTGTTGCTTAGCGCATCACAGCGCTGGCCACTGCGGCACGGGATGCTTTGCAAGCTGATAGCGTGTCGCTCTGCTGTGGGGGACGGGAGGTTGGGAAAAGTTCGGGACGTGAATGCTTCGGGACTGTGGCGAACTTAGCGTGTTGCGCCGAAGCGTGGTGGGCCAGAACAAGTGGCACAACACGCTAAGCAAACGATCGTGACCATATGTTTATGCAAACTTTTCGCAACAAATTTCTTAGGGGGTTGGAGGTGGCCAGATTGAGCGCAATCACCGGACAAACGTCGCATTCGTCAGCGTCAAAAGCGAAGGGATCGAATAACTGCATGTGTACCCCGCCCACTCAGCAAGCGTACGCCACCAGACGTGGTTATTGCGCAGAGTGGGCCCTCGGAGGCCGCGACCCCTTGAGTGGGGCCAGCGTCTCATCCCGAGTCGTCTTTTGACAACCACGGGGCCTCGGGAAGCGCAGGAGGCTAAAAACTGCCAAACGCCTTCCGTCGTGCCCTGTGCACAGAAGATCAGTCAGTATCGAATCGGGAGTTCGGATCGGCTCGAAAAGCGCGTCGGATCGGACTCCATCGGGACGGAGCCGACATCGAATCGAATCGGCCGCGTCAGGGGCGCAGGGGACCGTCGGAATATCCGATTCGAATCGGATCGAGCTGGCGGGAACTGGTATCGAATCGGAACGATCGGATCGAGGTGAACCTAGTTAACAACGCAAGGGGGGGGCTGGGGACTTTCGCAACCTTCTCGGCAGCTGCTGGAGCCTGTCGAGGTACACCAGGTGTTTGCAGGCTCCGCAGTCGGCCTCCCCGTCCTGGCGGGGGGGGAGGGAGAAAAGAGAAAGCAGGAGAGAAGAGGGAGGAGAAAGATTGGTTGGTTGGTTGGTTCGTTGGTGCCTGGGGAGGCGAGTGCTGGCGGACCTGCGGACACAGTATCCTTTTTGGTCGCCCGCGGGGGGGCGGCGCGACCCGTCCCGGAGGGACCCGACAGCCCCGTCCCGTGCTGCCATGGGAGTCCGAGGACATGGGCGGCGGGCGGACGAGAAGAGGAGGGCCATGGGGCAGCGATAGACACCCCACAGCGCATCAAAGGCCCGAGGCAGCACGGCCTGGGAACAGCATCGTTCCCGAAGGGCTGTCTGGCCAGGAGCGACCCTGACCCCCAGCCCGGCCACCAAGGAGCAGTCAACAGCTGAGCAATGCGTCGCCAGCCATGGCCGTTCCAGCTCAAAGCTTGGACCAGAGACCCAGTCCTCACACGTTCCTGTGGGGATGTGCGGAGTAGGCGCAGACCGCCTGACACGGGCGTTTAAACTGGTCCAACCCGGCCTCGGTGCGGCCCCTTGCGAGGGATACTGCAGTCTTCCCTGCTGTGGGGCACAGGAGGTCTGGATCCGCCCCAAAACTGAAAAGGCCCAGCCGGGAAGGGAAACGGGGGGCAGGAGAGTGAACGTTCTGCCGCGTCACCCTGCCTGGTCTACCTGGTCTCGCCTGTCCGTTACGGAGGGGGGAGGAGGGAGGGAGGGGCAGGGGAGGAGAAGGGGGAGAAGATGAGGGAGGAGTGAGGAGATCGAGGATGGAGGAGGAGACTTGGGAAGAGATCGAGGATCGAGGATGCAGGAGGATAGAAGGAGGAGGGGAGGGAGGGGGGAGGAGGGAAAGGAGGAGAAGGAGGGAGGAGGAGGAGGAGGAGGAGGAGGAGGAGGAGGAAGAAGGGAGGCACTCCGGCAGTGCCCGCCGCCGGGCTGGACGTTCTTCCCTCCCTCTCTCTCCCCCTCTCTCTCCCCCTCTATCTCCCCCTCCCCTCCCTCAATCTTCCCTCTCCCCCTCAATCTCCCCCTCTCTCCCGCTCCCCTCTACCTCCCCTCCCTCTCTCTCCCCCTCTATCTCCCCCTCCCTCTCGTCCTCGCCGCGGTCGGATTCGGCCGTGGGATGTTGCAGCCTCGGGGCGCCCTAAACAGTGAGCGCAGGGTCGTTCTGGATTGGTGCGGCAGGACACCTCAGTTCAGGTCGGAAAATCCTCTGTTTCACCGGAAGGAGAGATGAGGAGTGCGCGGCCACAGAACCTCACCACAGCATGACTACCACACTAGCGCGAAACAGACGATCGCCAGCAAACCACGAAGGCTACACGAGCCAACCTGCCATGGGCAAGCTCACGCGATGAACTTTGGTTTGGGAGACCAAGAGATAACGATACGAGTTGAAACACCAGAGAGGGAGTCAAAGGGGGACGGGACGAGGAGGACCGAACGTCCCCTGAGGCGAACACGCTCTGCGTTGGGCGGCGCGCCCGCCGCGCGGCCCCGCGCCCTCGCGCAAGCCCGAGGTCGGCAAGCGCGGCGAGGATCACCTGCTGCTTTCTGATGTGGTAGTCGCCAAAGATGGCGGTGCTGAGAGCGCCCACGGGCGCGCGGTGGAAGTCGGCAACTGCTTCGATCATCATGGAGATAACACCTCCGCCACGCCTGATACTCTCCATGTTGATCCCACAGGCGCGGTACCTGATGGTCAGAGGCGTGAGAGGAGTTGCGGATGCTGTTCCCGTTGTTGTCATTTACGCTCTGCTGGCCCATCCCCATCCGCGTCAGCACATCCTGCGAGAGCTGACCACGCTGCCTTGCGACGTGGTGCCAGCGGCTGTTGCAACTCGAATGGTACGGTGTGTCGTCGATTCCATCAGCGCAGCCGAAGATGCACTATAGTTTGGGAAAGGGGGCACACGCACCCTCCATGTAGTTGCCCATCCTCCTGCCAACGCTTTCACGGTGGGCCGCGCTCGGGACGGCAGCATCATTGCGATCTGCTTCTTGGCCAAGTTCCACTCCGTGCGCAAGGTAGACGGGAGATGGATCAACGCCGCGACGTCAATGGAGTCGGCATTCTCATCAGGGCGATTGGCTTCCATCGGGATCTTGGTCACGGTACCATTCCAGATCTAATCTGCTTTCAAGAGTGGTCGCCGCGGTGCGCAATGCTCAGCTCGCATTTGTTCCAGCTGCTGGCGGATGTCGGGGGTCTGTCTATGTTGCTGAAATAGTTGGACCCACCTTCGTCTATCCACGTTGCCATCATACTCGGACTGTCTGTTTGGAGAAGAACTCGTTGTTCCCACCAGTAAATAATATCCCAAACGAAGGGTGGCGGAACACTTTGCACACGCAAGCTTCACACCATAGTGTCCAGTCACGCCACCTGCCGAAGAGCTGGTCGTTCAGGTTTACGCGAGGAATTCAGTCGCTGGCCCTGTGCCCCAGGACCTCCCCCATCATTCCCAGCGGCTCACGCGTCCGCTGTGAGTCCTTGACGTTGTCGTCGGGCGGCGCACCGAGCAGCGACCCTGAAAAACCACGTGCCCAGGCGCCTCAAGATCGTCTGGCCGAACTTATCGTGGTAGAGGGAGCGCTGAAGTTCGGGCATGCGCGCAGCTTGCATGGCTTTCTTCTTGGTGATGTCTCGATCCACCTCCAAATGCTGCACTCGCTTTCCACGTGCCTGAACGCGTCGTTGCCCGTGAGGTTTGACGGTTTCCTTCCCTTGCGTGCTGGATTTTCTACGAGCGATCTTCACGTGCCGCGTGGCGTTCGTGTTGGAGCCAAGCTGGCGTCTGAAGTACTTGTGCAGCGAACCTTTGCATGTGGGAGAGTGTGTTCCGTTGATCGAATGCTGACAGATCTGCGCCATCGCTGTCTTGTCCTGCGATCAGTCCGCGCACCAGTAACCTTCGATGACTTTGAGTAGTGGTAGGTGGTCTTCGGCAGCCTGATGTAGTTGGCGCGAAGCGGCTTCCCATCCTTTGATCGTGCAACTGGCAGCACGCCGCATGGTAGAGGAGAGCATGACCTCCAAGCCGGTTGGAATTTCAGCTCCACTTCAAGCGCGCACGGCTACAATGTCCATACGAGTGAAGGCCAACAAAGGAGCAGAGCGCATCAGTTTGTGTAGTGCGTGGAGTGCATTTCTCTAGCCAAGAAATTGGAGATCGCCGGGCACAGCTGCCCACTGCAGGAGAAAGTGGCGACGACCGCAGTGCTGTAGATCTGGACGCTCTGCTGCAATGGGCTGCTGTGTGACTCAGCCAGTATCTGAGCCCGATGCCACCATTTCGCGGCAGGTGCTTGCCATTGACTTTGTAGCATCGCCACGGGGCCGATGAACACCCCAAGGCATTTCGCCGTGCCGTCGATCGTGAAAGTCTTCCACGGCTCGTGGATGTTGCGGAACGCGTTCCTCATGTCGTCCACCAGCTGGTCGCTGCTCTTGGCTCAGAACGGTACGAAGACGCCCGTTGGTTGAAGATGTAAACCTGCATAGTCGACGGCGGCCTGGACATGAGGACGGAGCCGCCGGAAATCTTAGATGGCGGCGATGGTGCTTCCGAGGTCGTCAGTACAGGCACTGGCAAGTCCAGAGCCACCGCGATGGAAAGCCGAGTCGGTGACGATGATAATCGGATCAAAAGCCAGCGCCCAGATCGATCCCGTGAGGGGGCACCCCTGTGCAACCCCGCTCTCCACGATGAAAGGCGGGCGCAGAATATTACCAAGCTCGACGAAACTCATTGAATAGTGGTAGACATATTTGATCCGTCCTGTGAAATTGCCATGAAGCCCCCATCGGGCAAGAAATTCCAAGTGCCAGGCATGGTTCACACTGGGGAACGCGGCGGCGATGTCCATGCTGAGGACGCAGGGCTGTTGCTTGTCAGCGTCGGGAAGAAAACTTCGCATGCGACAGAAGGCGTCGAAGTTGAAGGTGTTGGTAAGGAACTGTCTCCCAGGCACGAAGCCTTGCTGCACCTCGTGCGTGTTGCTCACCGTCGGGTGTAATGTTATGTTGCTCGCCGCTGCGATTATCTTGATGTCGCTAGTCTTAATTGATAGCGGCCGTAGTGCACCTGGAGTACGCGTAGCCGTAATCTGGTTACTAGGGTCGTCACTTTTCGGAAGCACCGCCATCAGCGAGAAGTTGAGGTCGTGAGGCACTGGTCTTCTTTCTGCCAAGCGTTGCATAAACGCTGCCAGGATGTCAAAGCTGGACGGTGTCGCAGGCCATGCTCGATATGGGATATGATTTGGGTCTGGTGCTGGATATGAAGCATGCTTGGCTGCCTGCTCAAAGGTCTGTAACTTTGGGGCTGTCGATGTCAACCCGTGGCTTGGGCAAGAAGACTGTGTCAAGGTAGCTCCGCATCCGATTATCGTCGGCCACTCTTTCTGTTCAGAGTGGGGCCCAGTGATCCTTCATAGCACCATGCATGTTCATGGGGTCCGTCTCAGTGGTGGTGACCCCACCGGTTGTGACCGTACCACCGGCAAGGATTAGCCTCTTTGCGAGCGGTTTCCAGAGCACCATGGCTACTTTCCCGAGCCACTTTCTTTCGCCGAGGAGGGTGAGGAGGAGGAGGAGGGGGAGGAGGAGGAGGAGGAGGAGGAGGGGGAGGGGGAGGAGGAGGAGGAGGGACACACACACACACACGCACGCACACGCACTAAGAGAAGCGAGTCCGAAGCATAGATGGTCCGTGACAAGACGATCGACCGAAGCCGCAAGACTCCAAGATACTACTACTACTACTACTACTACTACTACTACTACTACTACTACTACTACTACTACTACTACGACTACTACTACTACTACTACTACTACTACTACTACTACTACTACTACTACTACTACTACTACTACTACTACTACTACTACTACTACTACTACTACTACTACTACTACTACTACTACTACTACTACTACGACTACTACGACTACTACTACTACTACTACTACTACTACTACTACTACTACTACTACTACTACTACTACTACTACTACGACTACTACTACTTACTACGACTACTACTACTACTACTACTACTACTACTACTACTACTACTACTACTACTACTACTACGACTACGACTACTACGACTACTACTACTACTAACTACTACTACTTACTACTACTTACTACTACTACTACACTACTACTACTACTACTACTACTACTACTACGACTACGACTACTACTACGACAACTACTACTACTACTACTACTACTACTACTACTACTACTACTACTACTACTACTACTACTACTACTACTACTACTACTACTACTACTACTACTACTACTAAAACTACTACTACTACTACTACTACTACTACTACTACTACTACTACTACTACTACTACTACTCATAATAGTAGTTACACATGGCTTATTCTTGCTGCAATTTTGAATATTATTACTATTCCTCCTCCTCCTCCTCCTCCTTCTCCTGGTCCACCCCCTGCTCGTCATCGAAATGGACCGTCTGCGTCACAGCGTGCCGGCCCTAGCGAATCGAATGGAGCCTCGCAGGAGCTCGATCTGTCAATCAAAGAACTGTGAGCGCGCAGGACTTGCGCCGCAGCTGCGCCAAGCTTCTGGAAAGAAGTTTGTGCCTCCTCCACCCTGTGGCGGCTTCGTGTCGTAACGACCCCGGCGTTGGTTTCCGACACCGCGTGGATCGCTCAACCTTGAACAATCGGCGGCTCATCGATCACCAGATCGTTCCATAGTGGCCGACTCTGGGCCACCTGCGGCGTTCGACCTTGAACGCCCGCGGAGGGATCGCCACCGCGTCGACATGACACGAGCCTACTCTACGCACTCCCCTCTCCCGTATCGGCGATGCATCGGCGATGGGCGTGGAAAAGATCGGGCTCCACAGCGAGGCACATCGCTGATACGCGGGGATGCGGCGCGATCCTCCGAACCTGTCTTCTCGGACCACATTGGGACGCCTGGAGTCCCCTGCTCCGCCATCTCCTACCCCTCCTCTCGGGGGCCTCCCGTCCTTGAAGGGCCAGTTGGCGAAGTCCATGCACTGGACGCCTGGATCCTCGGTTGCGACCCCTGGTGAGGCCTTCGGTGCGGCAGATGTGGACAGGGGCGCAACGACGCCGACAGGCGCGGTGACCTGGTAGGGAGGAGGGCGGAGAGAGGGATCCTCGATCCTGGTCCGCCTCCTCCTCCTCCTCCCCCTCCTCCTCCTCCTCCTCCTCCTCCTCCTCCTCCACCTCCTCCTCATCCTCCTCATCCTCCTCCTCATCCTCCTCCTCATCCTCCTCATCCTCATGGATCCTCCTCATCCTCCTCCTCCTCCACCTCCTCCTCCTCCTGCTCCTCCTCCTCCTCCTGCTCGCTCCTCGATCATCGATCCTCCTCCTCCTCCTCCTCCGCCTCCGCCGACTCCTCCTCCTCTTCCTCCTCCCTCTCCATTCCGTAGCCCTTTCGGCTCAAGATGCTTTGTTCCACAAGGGAACACGAGGATACCGCTAGCCCGCGGCTAGTGCCAGGGCGACTCAGCCCGACAGTTTTGATCAAGAGTCTCGGCCTTCACCGCGGGAGTTGGGCCCCCGCCGCAGGATTGCCGCCAAGGGCATGGCGCCGCCGCATCACCGTGCGGAGCAGCGCAAACATCAGTGGTACTGCAAGAGCTGCATCGGGGCCCGTGGCTCGCCATGGTTCAACGCCCCGGACGCGATGTCGCGCAACAAGTGCAATCTGGGGAAGGGTTTCCGCTTCAAGGAGCACCGCTTGCCTTCGGCTCCGTCCTCCTCAACACGCGCACCAGGTCGCACGCTGGCGGCATGCACGAGTTCGGTCGAGGTGCAGAAGCTCAAGGCGGAATTGGCCGCGGCCTACCCCAAGCTCCAGCAAACCACCGGCCAGGCAGCCCCTCAGCCTGAGGAGCCAACCATCACTGGTGACGAGCATTCCAAGAAAAGGCCACGCGAACTTGCGGACCTCATCAAGACGGCAGGCTCCAACACCGACCCGCACATGGTCGTTGCCAGGGAAGCCGGCCTTAAAGAGCAGTTCGAGATCAAGAGCTAGCTGGCTGCGGCCAGGCCGCTGGGACAGCGGTTCCGCGACCTGGGGGCGCAGATCACACGCCAAGGGAAGCTACGACAAGACCAGGAACGCCGCTTCAAGAACAGGAGGACGCCGCCACTAAGCAGTTGGCGGATATTGATAAGCAGGTGGAGGAGTTACAGGAGCTGCAGCGCGAGCTCCAGCGTGAGGTACCACTTCTCCGCCGAGCTCCACTGGGAAGCCTGCCGCCGACGAGCCAATCGAGGGCCTCTCGGTCACGCTCGACGGCCTGGGCGAAGTGCTCACGGCGCTCGGGGCTAACCGCGAGCTGGCGGAGCGGCCCAAGACTGACATCGAATATGCGCGCAAGCTGGAGGCTGAAGCCCGTGCCAGGCAACAAGCTGAGCGTGCTGAACGCCAAGCCGCAGAGCGAGCAAGTCATGTGCAAGCTGAGGCGCAGGCTCCAGACGAAAGAATGGAGGTAAACGCCAACGACGAGCAGAGTCCGCTCAAGGAGGTGACCAAGGCGGGAGGAGACAAGCGCAAGATCGCAGAGATCTTCGAGGCGCACGGGGCCAAGGTCAAGCGGCCCAAGTCTGAGCCCCCCGTGTCGCAGGAGGCCCCGCCAGCAGCTGCCCCGCCACAATAGCGGCGCCTCGTCGTTCCAGCGGATGGTATTGTCTCTTGTGGCTTTCTTTGGATTAATGACGAGTTCGATTGCTACCACTACCTTGAACCTTTCTTCAGGCGGCCCTCTCATCGACTACCTGAAGTGCTGCCGCGGCATGCGCATCGCTGCGCAGGAACATCACGCCCGCGTCGAGGGCGGCGGTCTGGCCAAGGCACAGCAAGACGCCTTGGCCGAGGACTTCCATGGCGTTTGGGAGCCCGCTCTGCCTGGGACGGGCGCTGGGACACAGGCAGGCGTGGCCATCTTGGCGCCCAAACGAGTGTTGGTCACTGCCCCACCAGGCCTAGACGGGCCCACGCTGGGGCCTGGCAGGATGGCAGCCGCGCACGTCAGTTGCGGCGGCCGAAAGGGCTTCGCCATGGTCTCGGTTTACCTTCGCGTCAACGAGCAGCTGTCGTCCGAGAACCTGGCCATGCTTCTCAAGCTCTACAAGTACCTCAAGTTGCTGGAGGCGATGCAGTTGCCGTGGATCGTGGGCGGCGACTTCAACATGGAGGTTTCTCAGCTGGGGTCATTGGCGTGGTTGCACTCCGACAACGGCGTGGCAATTGTTCCGCCGGCCCCCACACGCTTGCAACCTCTTCCTGGCAGCACGATCGACTACTTATTCGTCTGCTGCCCGCTGGCCCCACGACTCAGCCCCGCAACGGTCGGCGAGGCTGACACTTGGCCACGCCTGCCCGCGACCATCACGACGCGGGCGAAGCCCCAGGACATGTGGATCAGGGAGCTAATGCAGCCAAAAAGGTTCAGCAAGGCCCCCAATGCAGGGCGCGCGCGGCCGCCCCCCGACTGGGGGCCGCTCCGCCACCGAGCTCAGGAGGCCACCGCGGCGCTGGATATGGCACATGCGTGGGACCAGTTGCTGCTTGGCATCGAGTTTGAGTTGCAGGGGAGGTTTGATATTGTTGGACCGTATGCCGACAGATTTACCAGGAAGGTAGGCCCCCCGACGCTCGAGTGGAAGAAGTGCGATTCTGCGGAGTCTGTTTCCTGGAAGCGCAAGGCACCTGACGTTGCGGCTTGGGCAACGGCTGCGCGGTGGGCTCGCCATTTTCGCAGAGCACGCACGGCCCTGCAGGCGTTCATGTTCAAGTTAACCAGCCCCACGTTCGTTCTCTCGCCGGTCAACCATCGCGAGGGGGAGGTGCGTGAAAGCTCCCCACAGTGCGACGGCAGGTTTCACGAAGCTGGCCGCCCCTCCAGCAGTTCTCAGAGGACAGCTGGCTGGTCTTCAGGCACGTGCAGCGGTTCGGCCGCTGGGTCGACAGGCGACGGCGCATCTCTGGAGGATAGACTCTCGGCGGTTAGAACGCAAGCCCCAGCCCCCAAGGGCACCCGCGAGGTAAACAGCGCGATGGGACTGTGCTCAGATGCCAAGTGGTCTGTGGAGCCCGCCACCAGGCGCACCCAAGGGGGAAACGGCGAGCGGGGCAGGCCCGCCTCGATGCGGGCAGCGGCTGGCGACGCTGCCCCTAGCCCACTGGCGCTCGAGGCAGATGTGGAGTTCGGCTCGGTGCCTGGCAGGCGCGCTGCTGGCGGCTCCCGCGGGGCCGACGCCGCGGCACTTTCGCCTTCGGAGATGGCGCGCACGAGAGGCAGGCCCAGCAGGACCGCGACCGCTCTGGCGGAGGTCGCGGGGAAGTTGGGGCCCCAGGTTTGCGGCGAAGCTGGGCCTCAGCGAGGTGGACTGGATGCTCGTGCGCGGCGTCCTTCCGAAGGTGGATCGGGCGCACTTCGCGATCGCCAGCCTCGCACATGGGAGGGGGCCAGGCCCCCGGCTGCTGAGGGGGAAAATGTTGAGCGCGCAGGGCCCAGCCCAGCGCCTGCCATCGTCGCGCCTGGCGTGACAAGTAGCTGGCCCCCGACCTCCCCCCGCGGGAGGTCCCCCGAAAAGCTCTGCATCAAGTTTGCGAAGCACATCTTGGAGTTCGAGAATTTCTTGCGTCGTGCGGAGGCCCTCGCTGGGATATGGATTCACTTGGATGGGCAGGCCAAGGCATGCTTCGGGCGCGGCATGGGCTCTTTCCTGCAAGACGATTTCGAGCAGCAGATCGACGGGATCCCGGCGAAGGCCGAGGCGATGCAGCGAACTCACGATCAGAAGATTGCCCGGGGCTGGAAGTTGCGGGCCGAGACAGCATTCGAAGGTGGAGCCAGTCGCGCTCACAAGTTTCCCAAGCCACAGGCTCTCCAGGAAGTCATTGACTTCGGCGATGGAGTGCAGCATGCCTACCAGATCGCTGACAGGAGGCTGGAGTATTGGAACGGTTTCTGGCAACATCATGAGGCTCAACCCGTCGAGCTTCCGCCGAACGCTGCGGATTGGGGCCCGCTCCCGCCCCTCACTGGCAATGACATCCGCAGGGCGATCCGAGCCTTCAGCTGGTCTACGGGGACGGGACAGGTCAAGATTGCGCCGCGAGTGCTCGACCAGTTGTCTGATGCCGCCTTGAGTGCGGTGGCGATGGTGTTTTGCCGCCGCGAGGGGTTGCTGCCATGGCCTCAGGAGAAGCTAATTTCCAGGATGGTACGTCCCGCCAAACCTGGGGGACGGGAGCGCCGCGAGCGCCTCATCGCGCTCCTCAACGCTCTCATACGATTCTGGGATCGGGCGCGTCGCCCGATTTCGGCGGACTGGGGGCCGCGCAATGCCAGCGAGGAGTTCTGGGGCCAGATTGGCGGGCGCCCCCCCGCAGACGCGGCATTCGACCCGGCGCTCGAGAAGGAGACGGCACAGTTGACTGGCAAGCACGCGCTGGTCGTCCTCATCGACATGCTAAAATGTTATGACACGGACAAGCGCTCCGCCATCCTCAGCGAGTGCAGGGCGAACAAGTTCACCATGCGCCTGGCCTACATGCTGGTCCTGCTTCACGAGCAGGCGCCCTTTATCTTCGCATGCAATTCTTTCTCTCGAGCCCAGCAGGTGCGCCAAGGTATCTTAGCAGGATGCACGCATGCCACCGCGACGTTGATGCCCCCCCCCCCCCCCCCCCTTCACGCGCAGCATCAAAGTTGACCCCTGCTGTTGCGAGGGAGATGCGGCCGCGGGAGCTGGCCGACGTCGCGGCCTTGAGTTGGGCGGGCCTCGACCCCCGCGGCTCGCGGCCTGCGGCTACGGCGCGCCGAGTCTTTTGCGAGTCAGTGCGCGCCCTTGACCTCATTCTGCAACTCGACAAGTCTGGCCACTTAGCTTTGACGCGCCAAACGGCTTATCACTTCAAGCCGTTCGCCAGGATTCTCGAGATTGCAGGCGAGCGTCACGCGCGGCATCTTGGCCATGACCCCGGCGCTGCAGCTGCCATGCGCGGGGCGCAGAAGGGCCGCCTGAAGAAGGCGCACGGCAGGAAGGCCAGAATCCGCGCCTTTCAGAGGGGGGCAGGACGTGCCGAGGCGGCCAGGATTTGGATCACAGGAGCGCTTCCCTCTGTCGGTCACGGCGCTGCAGTCAGGGGTGCCAATGACAGCGAGCTGAAGCAGATGAGGAGCGCTGCTGGGGGGGGGTCACAGGCGCAGGCGCGCTCGCCCCATGCATCGCTGCGCAGAAGCAGCGCACATACGATCCGACATACAACGCCACATGGAGTATCCTGCAGCTGCATTCTGCCCGGCTATGGGAGCTCCGCGGGACGCCGCCGCACCTCCAGAAGGCGCGGGTGGCGCTGCGAGGTCAGATCAGGGACGCCTCCCAGTTCACCTGGGCTAGCGCCAGAGGACCGCTCTCGGCGCTCTGACTCGCGCTGAAACGGGCGCGCTGGGACGCGGCGCCATCCGCGGTTGTCGTCGACGACCTCGGCGTGGCGCGCGACTTGCTCAGGGCGCCCCCTAGCGAGTTGAAGCGCTACCTCTTCTGGGAGGGTGAAGTATATCTGGCAAGGCGTTCCGCTGGAACAATGTAAGAATGCAAGTGCCACGCCCATGCGGATCTGCACTTTTCAAGGCGCCTGCGCGGGCAAGCTTTCTACGGCAAGGCGAGGTGGGGCGAAGGCGAAACACGCTGCACTGCGCGCGGGGCCCTACAGATACGTCGGGAAAAGCAGCGGGGCACGGCACCCCCGCGCGAAGCGGCTCTGAGAAGACGGGCGCGGGCCCTGACTGCGCGGGCTGGAAAACCGCCTTCAAACTATCCACCAATGAGGCGCGAAACCTGCCCCGGGGGATTGGCGCATATATGTTGGCCAAATGTTGCGGGCGAACCATGCCAGAAAAATATGCACAAATCGAAGACGCATAGGGAAACATCAGCCAATCCTCCAAACAACTCCAGAATCTACAGGGACTTTCGCCTGGAGGAGGGGGGGCAGGACCGCGGGCACCAATGCTGATACTAATGGGGAAACAACTTGCGAGAATCGGAGAAGAGGGGGGAGGGCGACGACAGCGTCGCAGAAACACTCTGCACCAACGTCGCGACCGTGGAACACCATGCCACACCGCATGCCTGGGCTGCAACTCGGCACCCCCTGTAAGCTCCCCAAAATCACAATTGTCAGCCTTCGCCAGCCTGGGGAGATGGCAAAGTCACAGGATTCTGGATCACCTTCCTGGGGCCCCCCAGCGGGACGAAGGAGATGGCCGTCAGCACGTCTGAGCGCGTGCTCTGAGGAAAGGGCATGTGCAACCACTTTCCAATGGTCTTCGAGGAGCTCTTGCCAAGCTGCAATCAAACGGCACGTGGTCGTCCGAGAGACCGCGTTTGGCGGGCTATACGAACAACGCGAGCTGCTAGTTCTGTGGCCACGAGCCCTCGGACCTGGAGCACGAGATCTTCTACTGCTCGATCCACGAGCCGCAGGAAGACGAAGGGCCCCCCTAACCCGACGACGTCTTGCAGGCCAGGAAGGACATCTGGAGTCAGGGGCAGACTGGAGTCGCCCTGGAGTGGGACTTCTCCCCCGTCAACCTGCTCTACGCCATCCCTCTGAGGGCTGTTTTCAGGCCCCCTGAGCCTTGCCTGCTGCCCGTCAAAGACTGGGGTGCTGCGAAGGTCCCGCGGCCAGGAAAAGTCCACGGTGCTGATTCTTGCGTTGGCAATGATTTTCCTGAGTCCAGGAGATGCGCATGGGCCGCGGTGGCCTCGACGCCCAACCTCGCCCCGTTCAAAGCTATTGTTGGCGGCCTTGCCGGCCCAATTCAAACAGTCCCCGCGCAGAGAGAATTGCTGCGGTGCGCGGGCTGGAGGTTGCGACCAGGCCGGCCGAGTTTGTTACTGATCGTCTGAGTCTCGCCCGTGAGGGGGCCTCTTGGGTTGGCAAGCGTGCTAAACCCCTTGCCCCACACACCAGCGTCTGGCGCAAAAATACATCAGTTGTACAGTCCTGATGAGTGCCGACCTGTCTTCACCTGGACCAAGGCCCATCGGTCTGTCGATGAGGGTCTGTCGGCGTGCATCGATTCGGGCGAGGCGATAGATAACCTTTCTCGGCAACATGTGGGCCGACTGCTTCGCGAAGATGGCCGCGCTCGAAATGTCGGGTTCTTCGTCGGTCGTTCAGGCTTTCAAGTTTCAGCTGGAGTAGACGCTGAGTCGCATGAAGTGTCTTGCGTTTGCTGCTGGGAGAATGGCAAAGGTGGCCACACCTGTTGTTAGGAAGCCCATTGCGCCCGCCCCGAGAGCTCGGCGCGTGAAGGAGCCCACCACACATGTCTTCGTCGGTTTCCCTGAGGGAGCCTTCGGCTGCAAAGTTTGTCGGGGGCAGGCCACCACCCTCTCCTCCGTCAAATCTCTGTCCGCCCGTCTCTGCGATCCCCAAACTCCAGGGCTGGGCCGTCAGGTGCAAGAGTTGGAGCGCGTGCTTATCTGCACGCGCTGCGGCGCGCACGCGGTGCGCCCGCAGCGCCTCTCGGTCGGCCTGGTGCGAGCCTGCAAAGGGGGCGGGACGGGGGCGCCTGGGAGTCGGGCGGAGCGGGATCGGCTGCAGAGGCCCCTGTCGAATGCTTCGAATGCTTCGCGAGGCCCTTTGCCCGCTTTTGCTGGCCGGCGCGACAGAAGGTTTTCCTAGACTCCCAGCAGGTGCCTCCGTGGTTGGGGGTCGCGGGCCCTGGGGCCGAGGCCGTCGGCCTGCGCGGCGGGGTGTGGCTCGAAGGTGCCCCAAGCTCGGACTCACTGTCCGCGGAGGCCGTGTGAGTTTCTGTGCACAGTGCGGGTTTTGTCCGCACCGCCTGAGGCGACCCCAGCCTTTCTGGGTCGCCCTCCTTTGTCTCGAAGCGGCCTCGTGATGCACCTGGCCGTTCTCTGCATTGCTCCAATGCTCCTCCTTCTCCATTCCTTCTCCTTATAAATAATTTCTCCCTGTCGCACCCCGAGGCCAATTTTTAGGGCGGGCCGGGTGTTTCGCCTAAGACTTCCTCACCAAGTATGATTCTGAAGCTTAACAGTTAGCAGCAACTTCACAGATGGAGGGCGGGTGGTTTTAAAAATGTGGTTCTCGCCTCAGCGCCGCGCACATTCGCTTTAGAAAATGCAAGGGTTTCACGGATTGAAGGCGAATGGTTTCAAAATGTGGTTCTCGCCTTAGCGCCGCGCACATTCGTTGTAAAACTTTGCATGGGGTTGGCGGGTTGACGGCGAGTGGTCTTCAAAATATGGTTATCGCCTCAGCGCCGCGCACATTCGTTCTAAAACATGTGCAAGAGTTTCACGGATTGGGGGCGGTTCCTTTTCAAAATGTGGTTTTTGCTTTAGCGCCGCGCGCACTCGTCTTAAATATTTGCAAGAGCTTCAGGGATTGCCATTATCAACGTATCAGAAATGGCGTGCTCGAAGGATTCATGCCTATGAAGGTGCACAGGTCATGTTGGTTCGCGATGTTCGCGTCCCACGAATGACCTTCTGGGACGATTCCGACCCGTCAAGACGCAACAGTCAAGTTGATCCGGGGCGTTAGAATCCCGAGAACAATATTTTGATATGCTTCCAGGTCTTCAAGCAGCTGTCTTCCAACGAGGCAGTCCCCACAGTAATAATGACTCGTTGTAAGGGCCTATGAAAAGGAAGCTTTGAAGGAGGGTTCATTCCAACATCGTTGATGCCTCTTGGGTTTACACTTGTCCTTCTCCTCCTCGTCCTCCTCCTCCTCCTCCTGCTCCTCCTCTCCCTCCTCCTCCTCCTCCTCCTCCTCCTCCTCCTCCTCCTCCTCCTCCTCCTCCTCCTCCTCCTCCTCCTCTGGGGGGTGGGGTCATGGCCGCCACAGTCCACGCGGCCTGAAGGAAGAGGGGAAAGGGAGGATGACGGAAGGAAGGAGGGAGGAGGGAGGACGATGTGACCTCCTGTGCGGAGCTGGAGACCCTGGTTGTGGTCGACGTGGAGAGCGTGAACCCCGGGCACCCTACTGGAGCCGCGGTCCGGCAGCAGAAGTCCTTCTTCATGGGGGACCTGGCGGAGAGACGCTCGGCATCCTACAGTATTATTACCATGGTGAACGTTGAATAGGGAAAGAAGCCCCTCGTTGGCCAGAAAGCGCCAGAGGAACAATCATGGAGGGACCTAAGGGACAGCTAACCCCTTTCGAACCCGAACGGTACCACATTTCAGTTTCTTGAACGCACGCCACCCGAGCAGCCAGAAAAGAGAGGGCGTCACACGAGAGGACATGGCGACACGGCGCGGTGGCCTACGCAGGCAGCCAGCGCGGCAGGCTGCACGGAAAGAAGGATACGCGGGCAGCTTGTGCGCCAACGACAGCGCAGTCAAGCCTGTTTTGTTTTAACGCGCCGCGGGAGGGAGGGGGGACGAGACACACGAACAACCAACAAAACACGCGCGTGCACGCTTCGCGCCTTGCGCCTCACGAAGCGAGAAGCGTGATCATAGTCGTGTCCATGCGCGGCCCGATGGATGGGTGCGACTCCCGAGCCCAGGCCGCGAGGCGCGAAGCGTGATCGTCACCGCGCCCCCGCTTGTGAACCAAGTACCTCCCCCCCCTCTCGTGATCATGCTCATGCTCCTCCGCCTCCTCCTCCTCCTCCACCTCCTTCTCCTCCTCCTCCTCCTTCTCCTACTGCTCATTATAATCACCACCACCACCATAATCATCACCACCACCACCACCACCATCATCATCATCATCATCATCAACAATATCATCATCAGCATCATCATCGTCATCATCATCTTACTCATCATCGTCATAATCATCAGCATCGCCGTCATCATCCGCATCATCATCATCATCATCATCATCATCATCATCATCATTATCATCATCATCATCATCACTATCAGCATCGTCACCTTCGTCATCATCATCATCAGTATCACCACCATCATCCTCATCATTAACATCAACATCAGCATCGACATCACCAGCATCATCAGCATCATCATAATCATCGTAATCAGCAACAGCAGCACCATCATCATCATCAGCACCATCAGCATCATCATCATTATCATCATCGCCGTCATCATCATGATCATAATCGCCATCATCACCACCATCAGCACCATCATCCTCATCATCAGACTCGTCATCATCATCAGCATCATCAACATCATCACCCTCATCATCAGCATCACCATCATCAGCAGCATCCCCATGCTCATCCTGATATGAACCCACATCGCCCTTAGCATCATCATCAGCAGCAGCATCATCAGCATCAGCATCGTCCTCATCATCATCATCAGCAGCATCATCATCATAATCGGCATCATCATCACCATCATGATCAACATCATCAGCAGCATCATCAGCGTCGTCGTCAATGTCGTCCCCACCGCCACCGCCGCCACACCGTCATCATCATTATCATCATCATCATCATCACCATCATCATCACAATCATCATCCTCATCAGCATCATCATCGCCATCAGCATCATCAGCAACATGATCATCATCATCGTCGTCGTCGTCGTCGTCCCCACCGCTGCCACCGCCACCGCCGCCCCCATCACCATCGTCGGCATCATCGTCACCGTCGTCATCATCAACGCCATTAGTATCACCAGCATCAGCATCATCACCATCATCATCCCCATCATCAGCATCATCATAAGCGGCAGCATCAGCACCGGATAACCGTCGTCGTGCGTATAGTCATATTAATCCTCAACGTCATCATCTTAATCAGCATCCCAATCATCAGCATCATCGCCATCATCACCGGAAGCATCGTCTGCTTCATCCGAAGAATCGTCATCACCTTCACCATCATCATCATCATCATCATCATCATCATCTTAATCATCATCATCATCATCATCATCATCATCATCATCAGCGTCGTCGTCAATGTCGTCCCCACCGCCACCGCCGCCACACCGTCATCATCATCATCATCATCATCATCATCATCACAATCATCATCCTCATCAGCAACATCATCGCCATCAGCATCATCAGCAGCATGATCATCATCATCATCATCATCATCATCATCATCATCATCATCATCATCATCACCATCGTCGTCGTCGTCGTCGTCCCCACCGCTGCCACCGCCACCGCCGCCCCCATCACCATCGTCGGCATCATCGTCATCGTCGTCATCATCATCGCCATCAGCATCATCAGCATCATCATCATCATCAGCATCATCATCATCATCATCCCCATCATCAGCATCATCAGCATCATCATCATAAGCGGCAGCATCAGCACCGCCATCTGCATAACCGTCGTCGTGCGTATAGTCATCTTCATCCTCAACGTCAGCATCTTAATCAGCATCCCCATCATCAGCATCATCGCCATCATCACCTGAAGCATCGTCTGCTTCATCCGAAGAATCGTCATCACCTTCACCATCATCATCATCATCAACGTCGTCGTCAATGTCGTCCCCACCGCCACCGCCTTCACACCGTCATCATCATCATCATCAGCATCATCATCACAATCATCATCCTCATCAGCATCATCATCGATCATCGCCATCAGCATCATCAGCAACATGATCATCATCATCATCGTCGTCGTCGTCGTCGTCCCCACCGCTGCCACCGCCACCTCCGCCCCGATCACCATCGTCGGCATCATCGTCACCGTCGTCATCATCAACGCCATTAGCATCACCAGCATCATCATCATCAACAACATCATCATCACCATAAGCGACAGCATCAGCACCGCCATCTGCATAACCGTCGTCGTGCGTATAGTCGTCTTAATCCTCAACGTCATCATCTGAATTTGCATCCCCATCATCAGCATCATCGCAATCATCACCTGCAGCATCGTCTGCTTCATCCGAAGAATCATCATCACCTTCACCATCACCATCATCATCATCATCGTCGTCGTCATCATCATCCTCATCATCAAACTCATCATCATCCTCATCCTCATCCTCATCCTCATCATCATCATCATCATCATCATCATCATCATCATCATCGTCACCATCATAGCAGCCCATCATCGTCATCATCACCCTCACCATCATCAACAACATCGACAGCAACTTATCATTATCATCGTCATCATCAGCAGCATCATCATCATCCGCATCAGCATCATGATGATGATCACCACCAGCAGCATCATCATCAGCATCATCATAACAATCGCCATCATCGTCAGCATCGCCGTCATCATCGTCAGCATCGTTGTCATCACGAGCTTGAACTTGGCAGCGCACGACAGCGGTTCCAGGAAGCTGGCATCACCCTCGACCAGCTCAGAATGGCCCCGGGCATCCTCGTCCACGAATTCGCGCGCCTGAGTCTCACCATCAACTTCGGTCCAGGGAAGTCAGCCGCCGTGGTCAAGTTCGTCGGCAACGGCTCCGAGAAGCTCCACCTGACCGCATTCCTGGAGCACAGGCGCGAACAGTTCACCTCACCGGGCGGCTTCACCCTGGAGATCTTTCACCACTCTGCCTACCTGGGCACAATTCACCAGGACGCTGGAGGCCACCAGGCCGACAGCTGCCGCAAGGCGGCCAAGGCATTGCCGGCCTTCGCGCTGCTGGCCGTCCCCGTCTTCGGGTCCAAGGCCATCGTGGAGTCCACCAGGATCAAGCTCGCCAACTCCCTCGTGCTCTCGCGCAGCTTCTTTGCAGTGGCAGCATGGCGAGGTCAGCTCGACAGAGGGTGGCTCCCGCTGCAGGCTCAGTACCACCGAGGCTGCGCCGCATTCACGGCTCCATGCGATTCGGGGCCCCCAGCACGCCAACAGACTCAGAGATGCGGACCGCGCTGCAGACCCCCCGCCCGCCTCCATTTGGTGCGGGCGCAAGGACTGGCAGGCCTTGGTCGCAGCTGCGAGCGCCGCCGCTGGTGATACGCTGCATTGCCACCATGCCCAAGCCTGCGTCGGCCACTCATCTCCTGACGGACCAGCGGCAGCTGGCTGCCGCAGTTCTGGCGGAAGCCCAAGCCCCCGGAGACTCGTCACATGTTCCGGGTGCCTGGCGCGAGTGCGTCGTGTCGGAGCCCGCGAGATGGAGGCGGTCTTGTCACCCATTCCGCGCTCTACCATGCGAGGCCCCGCAGCCCCAGTCGGTCATGCGCTGGCAGCGAGGGAAGCAACCTGTCCCGCTTGGGCGGGTGCTTGTACCAGTCCCGATTCCGACGTGCCCTTACTAAAAGAACGCCGCGGCCCCAAAGGCTTGACCGCTCTCAGGAGACACGCGCACGGCATGAAAAAACAGGCGCGGCTTTACATCCTTGGGACGAAATTCCCAGCTTGCTCGAAGGATTTTGGTACGCGCCCCCGCGCGCTCCACCATCTCCAACACTCCAGCAAGCACTGCAGGGCCCAAATGATGCAAGGAGACCTTCCTGCCTTCTCAGCTTCCCAGGTCGCCGAGGCCGACAGGCCCGACGCGGCGTCCAACCGCGCCCGCACAGCGCGGGAGGAAACGAACACTCGCGCTCTCTGCCCGCAGCGCCCCCTGGCAGAGCTGCAGCCCGCGGGTGCTTCGTCAATGGGAGCGTTCGCATAGCGTTACCCAGCACGGCCAGGGAGGTCAGGAGATGCTTCGTCAATTCCGTGACGTGCCTGCTGGACCGCGGACCATGTCATACTCACCTGAGCGCCCTGCACAGGCGCTTCCATGACCAGCGCCCCTGGCTGGCGAACTCAGCTCTTATCAGTTTCCCAGATGTTTTGTCCCATCCGCATGCGCTTACACACCGAGCCAGCGCACCCTGCAGGTCCCACACTGCGCTGCCTGCTTCCTCGCCTGCGCGCGCTCCAGGTTCGCCCTCGGCCGCCTCGACTCAAATCGAGTCATCCTCAGCAACATCATCATCATCATCATCATCATCATCATCATCATCATCATCATCATCATCATCATCATCATCATCATCATCATCATCATCATCATCATCTTCTTCGTCATCATCATCATGAGCAGCAGCACCAGCAGCATCAACAACATCATCATAATCGTCAACATCATCATACTCACCATCATAATCATC